GAGCTCTTAATATCCTACTCACGCCTTGCTCTAGCTTGCTGGTCTAGCACTTGAGATAGAATGCTATTTCTCATGTCTGCTTGTTTTGCCTTCATCTCCTCCTGTTCTTCCTGGGAAGGGCCTCCTCTCCCACCTCTGCCTCCCTTACATCATACAATACAAATTGATAACATAAAAAATAAAATGAAAATATAGGAGCAGATATTCAGGCTGATTAAGTCATGCTGAAGAATCTGCCTTTTGATCCAGACTTTTGACTTCATTAAAAATCTTAAAACGTACATAGGCTGGCATTTTTAACAAACATTTTACTGGTTGATTCAACTAAACACAACTGGAAATAGCTAGGCGTGTTTTACTGATCAACCCTACTGACTATGGTTTTAAAAGAGATCACATTCTAAATGATAAAATTCAACACAAAGGGAGTGATAAAGCATCAGATGACAAAACTGCGGTTGTAACTCTGTATTTACAGTTTGTTTTATTTTTGTTAAATGTCTCATATACCTGTTGCTGGGCCTGCATTTCAGCCAAACGCCGGGCCCGAATTGCTTCAAGTTCACTGTCAGCCATTTCAAACTTTTCGATCTACGGCCTCTTCTTTCCCATTTCAGCCAAGAGGAGCCAAAGAAACAAACATGTCAACATCCGGAAAGTCAGTGAAAGAGGTTTTACAAGCGTTCATTGAGAACTTAGATCTTGTAATAGATCAGCTTAGAAGTAAGTAATGTTTTCCATATGTACGACTGGCCAAATGCATAAAAAGAAAAAATGGATAAAGCTTAAGAGAAAAATGAGTAACCATAAGAAATGAGCACGTGGGTTACCAACTTGCCTACGGCTACAGGCTACAAATCCACTCTCTATCATTTTATGGCAACCTGGTTCAACAAATGATGGTTTGATCAGAAAAGTTAATTTCTTTCTTAGCCGGTTCGTTCGAATGCGACCGGACAACTACGCAATTTTCATGCCGCTCAGTTTTAATTTCCACAGCAGTCTAAATGTGAAGTTTTTAAGTCAAAACTGCTGTGCTTGTGTGGCAAAAAGTGTTCCTACTAGCTATGCCTATGTACTGGTACGCATGATCCTATCAATAATAAATATAGCGTTAAATTGACACTAAGTGTAAAACATGGGTAACACAGCATTGGATTTTTTTAAAGTAATAGTAATAATTTATTTATTTATTTATTTATCTATTTATTTATTTATTTATTTATTTATTATTTTTTCTGGTAGTAGCACTAAGTAGTATATCTTTGACACATATTATACCTGCATCTAATATTTTGGCAAATTACTGTTCACGAAAGTATAACATTGTCCTGCAACAAATAAAAGGTGCAAATATTTTTTTAAGGATTGCAATTATACATGTATGTAAAAATTGATTTCAATATTTCAGAAGGAGAATCAACCAGAGCTGATACTGGCGATTTTCAGGTTGATAAGTACTGGACCCATCTAGGTAAAATATTACATATAGATTAATATATACTGGATGTGGGAATACTCCAGTATTTGATTTTATTTAAGCATACAGTGACTATTTCTGCTGTGATGTAATATGTTGACTAATAAATAAATAAATTCATTACGTAATTAAAATGAAGTATTAGAAATTAAAAAGGGGGTAAAGTATCTTTATTTGATAGGTACACGGTGTACATGTATGCTTATCTTAGATATACCTTCCAAATTCATTTCATACTTAATGGTATGAAATTAAGTCAGGCTCATTAATATTCTACATATTTATTTCATGAATTATCATTATTGCTATATTAATGTCCAGGTGCTGTAGTGAAGGCTGTGTCCCATGAATGTACCAAGTTATGTATCACCTTCTCCACTCCTCCACTGCCTGCTCCTGAGGTTTGTGTCTATTGATGCACAGTGTGTCAGTATATGCATTATGTTTGTGTGTGTTATAGAGAGAGTGAGAGAGAGGAGGGAGAGAGGGATGGAATGAAAAAGAAAGCATGCACTATTAGAATTTTTTTAATGGGTTTATATCAGAGAAATGAAATTAAGATGATTCACGAAAACATTTGCAAATTTATTTGCAAACGGCATAGATTGGCAGGAATTCATGAAAGCAAAAAAAAAAAAAAAAAGGGAGGGGACACTGAATCAAAAAGAAACAGACTATTTGAAAATAGTTCTAGTATTTTGTTCAAATGTCTTAACTGTGAATGATTCAATTTGTTTCAGGAATGTTCAGGTCTTGTTTCTGGTCTAGAGAGAGCCACACTTGCACTGGTGTCAGCTTTTTATTCCCTACCCACATCACAAGGTAATGAACTAGGCACACCCTGTCACAGAGAGTTTTAGCCTAATACTACACATGCATGCCCACATTATACAACATGTTTTTATGCCAGTGCCAATATCACACTCGAGGACTATTCATTTCCCATGTTCAGACATGAAGCAAAACAATGCCCATATGGGATATTAGATTTGGGATTATGTCAGCTACCTTCAAGTATTTCCTTCACTTAGTTTTATATGTAACATTAGTAGTTCCTCTATACCAAGATAACAATAGCCTATAGTTGGTGAGAATGCAAAACCTATCTTATGCACTAGTACTGGTAAGTATAAATAAAAAAAAAGATTCATATCACTGTATTTTAAAATGGAGGCATTATAATCTTGTTAGTAAAATACTGTTACAATACACAATGAAAGCAATGCAGAATTGTCAAAATGTCTGGGTCGGTAGCTTTACCGTTTCCATGATACATGTGTGGTATTTATAAATACATTTTTTTTCGTACTTTCCTGTACAGTTTTGTATACTGTTGGTAAATATTCTCTTACTAGATATGTTCCTTCTGACATTCAGCTGTCACGATTTCATATAGGTCCATCTTCTTGGTATCATCATTTTGATCTTGAGAAAGTTCATTTTATATGCCATGGCTGTCAGCAACACCCCTTTGAAAACCTTGGTTCACATACTGTCTCTCAGTCTTTTCATAGGCCTGAATACTTCTTCTCTGGAGTTCAAGTTCAGTGTATTGTTGCTGGGGTTCCTGCTCTCCTAACTGTGCATAAACATTTTCACCATCTTTTCTTTTATCCTGATTCCTGTGGGTTTGGTCAGAGTAGTCGGAAGATTTGGGTACAGCTTGGTTCACATACTGTCTCTCGTTCTCTTCGTGGAACTGAGTGCCTTTTCTCTGGAGTTCAAGTTCAGTGTATTGTTGCTGGGGTTCCTGTTCTCCTAACTGTGCATAAGTATTTTCACCACCTTCTCTGTCATCCTGATTTTTATGTGTCTGGTCAGAATGGTTGGAAGACTGGGGTAAAGCTTTTTCAGATCTCTTTTTTCTACAATGGTAAAGAAAAAATCTTCACATACAGCTGACTTTTATAAGATAATTTTTTGACGAGGTAAATTTTCTACTTCTTTAGACCTTTTTGGATATGAAAAAGCAAACAAAGTCACGGGACCTATGACACATTTGTTTGGGCCTTTGCGGCTCAGCTTGACATGTTTGCAACAGGACTGAGAAAGAGCCTTGAGGACTAGCACACATATTTTTTGTTCAAAATTAAGGTATTTTGGGCCCTCCCTTGCTCCTGTTATGGATAGAGTTTGATAAGTTCAAAGTCACATTCACCTGAATATATAGCAGACAGCAGCTATATTAAAAATCAGCAGCACCAGTGATATGGCTCCCAAAGTTCCTCCAATGACCACACCTAAAACAGTGGATATACTGTGCTGTAAATGACTCAACTTGGCTGTGTATTATCACTTGCGAAGAGTGCCACACATGCGCGCACACACACACACACACACACACACACACACACACCAGATTTGACAAAAACCCATGGGCCTGCTGAAATCTTTGAGTAGATTACGCAGTACCTGTAAAGATAATGCAGGTCCAAATGGTTTCCAAGACATAATTAATCTATGGTATTGGGACCATGAACATGTATATGTGGCTTTGAATGCTTTCTTTTACAAATTATTTATTTCAACAAGTATTGTACTACTGGCATTGTAAAATTTTACAAAAAAAAAAAAAAAAAGAGAACATTTTGATAATTGTCTGAGAAATAACTGCTAGCTGGTCTATTGAAAATTTAAGCTGTTCATTGTAAAATTTTGGTCAAAATTGCCAACCCAAGTTTAATGAGGAATTGTAATTTATAGTCATTAAAACTTTTTTTAGGTATAAATAGTTTGAAAAAGATGTTACAGTTTCTCCCCTCCCCCACCCCCCTCCCACCCAAAAAAAAATGATGCTGTCACATTGTGACTGATGTATTTTTATGATTTAACAGCATTATATCATAAGTTGATTATGGTGTATTTTAAATTATATGTTACATACACTGAATTCCATCATTCCTTAAGTTGCTTGTAGGAGTTGAACCTAAAGTATCAGAAATAGCAGTTCCCTTTGAACCTGTACTGGTAATAGAACTGGTAAAAGGCAGGGCTGTTTCTGGTTTTACTTGCTTTGCTGTCTCTGTTGTTTCTTGTGTACTAGTAGCAGTAACCAGAGTTGTAGATACTTGGGAAGTGTGTCTGTATGTTGGCGTTACTGTAATGGTGGCTGGTGAGGAGGAAGACGCTGTTGTTGTCACCTCTGAGCAGGTATATACAACTGTAAGACTGTTGGTACTGTTAGATGGACAACCAGATCCAGGTGACATATAACTGATACGTGATTGAAAACGGCAGCTTTCTCTGTGATCACAGATAATCTGTATAGCGAATGGTATATTCCTGTTACACTCTGGTATACTTTCCTCAGAACAGTTGTTGCCTGTGGATAGTGTGTAACCAAACAATGCCTCAAGTACTTTAATGCTGGACCCAGGGGGACACATAAGAACCATGAAATCTCCCTCACAGCTTGATACTGTAATATGACCTGCAAAAACAGAAACAGAGAAAGAAGTTGCAGTGACATTGACAGTGTATTGTTCTAACATATATTTTATAACAAACAGTGCATGTAATATTTGCTTTTTACTCGTATTTTCTATAAAGTGTGCAAAAATTGTAGAAATGTCATTTCTATAAAGTTTTGAAAAATCTGAATGCATTTGACACTTTGCAGGGATTAAGGTAAACATTTGCGCTGAAAATATGTCAGAAGATTTGAACTTCCTCCATTAAACTAATAGCAAAACTCCCAATAAGAAGACATTACTTTAAATGTATGTGTGGGCATCATCCATATCCCCCATACAGGAATGCTGTGTTTATTTACTTATATTGATTTCTGTTCTACTCACCTGTAACCTGTGCCCCAACAAATACATCCAGTCTAGTGCTCAAACCCAAGACAAAAATTAAAAGAAACCTGCCTTCCATGTTCCACAGCAAATATTGATCTTATTACACTCTGATTTTGAAGATATTGAGTGTCCAACAATTTTTGGTTTTGTAGACTTTGGTTTTCTTGAGATGTATTTTGCTGTTAAAGCCTGTTTCAATTGACTTAAAGGATTGCCGTACCCGTAGTCAATGTTAAGTATCAGTTTGAGGTCACTTCCTGGTTTGACTGTTTGGCATAACAAAAAAGAACATGGTTCATTTGAACTTTGAGTGGTTTGTCAATGCAGGTTCTGTACATTTATAAGCTTTATACAAGTAGCTGGTCTGTTTTGAAGTACCAGTTTTTATGTACAGACACAGATGTCTGTGCCTTATTATCTTCCAACTGAAGTGGGATGATTCATATCATGTTAATACAGCTGGATTCAATAGCAGCTTTATTGGACTATTTTTGTAATGTTTCCTTTTTTCATTTTTCATTTTTCAAACTGACGTGTTCAAGAAATGACTTTTCACTCCTATCCATCTGAAGCTCTGTACAAGTAACATTTTCTGTATTACCGCGTAAGCAATAGTAATGGTGTTTATGCTGTTTGAAAGCATCATGTATTATTATTTTGTGTTATTATAAGCATTATGTAGTATTGCGTCAAAATGGACAGAATGGCATATTTTGTGCATCTCTATTATCTGCTTTTTGTCTGAACATATGACAGCTTTGCTGCCTTGTTAATACTGTCCCATACAGTTTTGTATATTGTTGGTAGATATTCTCTTACTGGATATGTTCCTTATGACATTCAGCTGTCATATTTTCATATAAGTCAATTTTCTTGGTATCATCATTTTGATCTTGAAAAAGTTCACTTCATAGAACTGAGTACCTCTTCTCTGGAGTTCAAGTTCAGTGTATTGTTGCTGGGGTTCCTGCTCTCCTAACTGTGCATAAGTATTTTCACCACCTTCTCTGTCATCCTGATTCCTGTGGGTTTGGTCAGAGTTGTCCGAAGATTGGGGTAAACTTTGGTTCACGTTTTGTCTCTCATTCTCTTCATAGAACTGAGTACCTCTTCTCTGGAGTTCAAGTTCAGTATATTGGTGCTGGGGTTCCTGCTCTCGTAACTGTGCATAAGTATTTTCACCACCCTCACTGCTATCTTGGTTACCATGGGTGTGGTCAGAATGGTTGGGAGATTTGGGTGAAGCTTCTTCAAATCTTTTCTTTCTACAATGGTAAAGAAAAAAATTAAGATATAACTGACTTTTATAAGATTATTTTTTGACAAGGTAAATTTTCTACTTCTTTAGATCTTTTTGGATATGAAAAAAGCAGACACTCTCACATGACCTACATGTATGACACATTTGAATGTCACTTTGAAACTCAGCTCACCATTTTAGTCTTGTTTTGAACAGGACTGAGGAAGAGCTTTGAAGACTAGCACAGTCAAATAGGGTCAGGGCCCTTCCCGGCTCCTGTTACAGATAAATTTTTTGACAAAAGTGAATAAGTTCAAAGTTAAATTCACCTGAATATATAGCAGACAGCAGCTATTATGTTAAGAATCAGCAGCACCAGTGATATGGCCCCCAAAGTTCTTCCAATGACAGCACCTAAAACAGTGGATAAACTGAGCTGTAAAAGATTGTTTTCTACTGAGTATGTATTTTCACTAACCAAGGGAATAATGTGTGTGTGGTATTGGGGCAATTCACATGTAATTGTGTCTTTGAATGCTTTCTTTTACAAATTATTCATTTCAACAAGTATTGAATTACTGTAAGCTTTTTCAATAATTTGTGGACTACATTATGATCACAGGCTATTGGAAATAACTGCTGTAAAATTTTATTAAAATTGTCAACCCAAGTGTAGCTAGGCATCTACATTAAATAGTCACTTAATTTCTTGTTTGGGTAAGGGATCTGTTTGAAATTGATGTAACAGTTTTTACCAAAAATGCTGTTGTAACATTCGCCCT